GCACAAGACTCCGTCCTGGACCCGCCTATGCCTGGTGGATGGCAAGTAGGATTGCTCGTGTGCTGCAAATCAGTTTTGCCAATGCTGCAATTAATCCTTGTGTGAAATGTTCTTGTTTTCGGTACTGTTGCATGTCAACGGGTCGAACCCGCCATCAGTCTTTAGTAAGCATTCCCTGAAAGAGAGTGCCATTGATGGCCCTGCCGACAGGTGATTGGTATTGGCAATTGCTAGTAACAGAGCATTTTCTAGTGACTTTGCTTCTTGAATATAGTAAAGGAAGATGGGGAGGGGGATTTTGAATTTGATAGCAAAAAAATCATCACTCTTCCGCTCCATATTGTTGTTTGTTCTGACAGTCGGGGGAGAGTTACCGAAAGATTGATCCGAAGGTGGATGATAATATATTTGGACAGCATGATCCAAAGATTATGGATTTCTGGGTCGTTTCCAGTGTCCCATTAATCTATCTGTATGCAGTCTGTCTTTTGCTTTTTTTACACAGTGTGTAGAAACTCCTTATGCACGTGAAACTAGCACTGTATGATGAGAAAGTTTATGTTTTTTGTTTTGACATTTCAAAACATGATTTTTTTGCTTTACACATCTCGCACAAATTTTATCCAGTTTTTAATATGTTTAGAAAGGGCCTCTATTATCTTTTTTTTTTTCAAATTTCTTCTACTATTTTAAAAAAAACATTTTTTGCAGGCAAAAAACAATTTCAAATGCAATCGAACTTTTATTACAAATCTTACGTATGATGACCTCGTTTGCGATCCTAGTTGGTAATATTCGTAAAACATTTATTCCGGCTCAATTCAAGTGGCTTAAGCCGGGTCGTCATGCCTACGACAATCCCGAATTAATGATGCTGTGGAGGTTTGCTTTCCGGTTTTTTCACTCATCCTTCTTCCTTGATTTTTGATACAGCGTTTTCGTTCCCCAGTGAATGAGACGATAACCACGCCACGAGTTCTATCCTGAGCTCGTCTCATCTATAACACTCCATATAATCGAGTTAGCG